GAGAGAGAGAGAGAGAGAGAGAGAGAGAGAGAGAGAGAGAGAGAGAGAGAGGGAGGACAGCCAACCTGCAGCCGGTCTTCCATCCCGCTTAATTCACTTTTAAAGTAAAAGGAGGTGACGGTCTTCAGATATTGAGCTGACCGGCCCCAGGCAATTCAGAATTGAAATATTTGGGTTTACTCGTCAAGTTCCATCATCTAGGTTCGAACACGGGTCTGTATTTCAACAGTTCAATGGTGTACCCACTGAGCTAGGCTCTTGGGTATCTCGCTTAATTCGCAGAGAAAGTTTGGCTTTCATACGATTTGCCAGCCAGCCTCTAGGTGATCACCACGCAACGGAATCAAGGCAACTTTGTTGCCATTACACACGACATCGTCAGTATGTCAGTCGGCTTCTTCCTCTTCTCCTGCATCTTGTTTGCTCAAACTATTGGTAGTAGAGAACAAGTGACTAGGCCTAATTGCACTTTCTCTTCCTTTTCTTCCCAGCCGTGTGGCATAGTCTGCTGCCGGTATATACACAGGATGGCAAAACGACACTGGGCTCGAAGCAAACATTCATCCTTTTTGTGTTTTTGTGCATCATTTCTTCATGTGTGCGCGTGTGCGTGTGTGCGTGTCACGCTTCCTTCGTTAGGTAGGGGCAATGCTAATCTTGTCTGCAGCGTTCCTAAGCGAAACTGTTTTTTTTTTTTTTGTTCTTTTCTTCGGGCTCGGCCTCCTGAAAGTTCGGGCACTGGCCAGGACTTGTCGAAACCGGACGCCAAAGGTACTGGTGGTTTTAATTTGTGAACCATTTGTCGACTTATTAGCGTCATCCTTGCGCAGGGGCCATGCTAATCTTCTCTGTATCGTGCCAATTTGGACGGATGTTCCAGACATTCATTGAATTTCATTCTCATGGACGTGCGGAACGCGATCTTTGTCTTTTCCTCTCTCTTCTACATGTTGTACCAATTTTGATCGGATCGGGATTCGAACTTGGGTCTGTACTTCAACAATTGATAGGTGTACCAACTGAGCAAGGCCCGTTGGGGTTGGTCCAATTTTAACAGATGTCTCTACCGGTAGTAAAAAGGACATCAAACGCTATCTTGCCAGAATCCTATGCGGATGGCCAACTGAAAGATCGACAGTTCCCGCGAGCGATTTGTTTTGGAACTCCTGATGCTGTCTCTTATACACATCTAGATGTGTATAAGAGACAGGGTACCGACAGAGGTACCGGCCTGGACTGGCCTACCCAGAATATAACACAGGCCTGTGAGAACAGGCCAAGGGGCTGGTCTCACAGGCCAACCCGAGGTCCGCTACATGAAGCTTCGGAGAGGCTGCAGTACTCCTCTAGACAGGCTTTAAGTGCACCTAGTGACTCTGGAGTGTTTTTGGAAATAGCCAGCAGATCATCCGCCAGCGCCTTGGCCCGACAGTCCAGGTTTCCAAGCGGGAGGCCCTGTATGCAGGGATGCGCTCTAATGTTGTTTAGTAGAACCTCCAGTTGGATCACAAACACCAAGGGTGCAAGGGGGCACCCCTGTCTGAGTGAGGGGGAACTGCTTCGAGATTTTCCGTTCACTGATACCGCTGCTGTTGAGAGGACGTATAATGCTGTTGAGAGGACCCTTGGTGCGTTCCCGTTATTTCAACCACCAGTACGTTCCCTTTATTTATTCAGAGGAAAAGAGATCCCTAAGCGCCTGCCACTGCCATCGGAGGTGCCGTTTCATTTCAGTTCTGGCCTACTTCCTCGCCACCGGAGGTGGGACCACACCGTCTGAGCTGGCCGCCGTCAGATCGTCGCGAAACGAAACTTATCCATTCCGGATCTCGTTTTGGTTACCCAGACGATCCTCCTGTTTACAGGAAGTTGCGAGGGAAAAAAAAAAAAAAAAAGTTGCGAGATGACGTGTGAAAAGAACCACGCTTGTACCTGGAAGACGAAAGAGACGGGGTTCACAGCGTACTCACACTCCCCGGTATCTGGTGGCAATTAGGACCCCGCACGGATGAATCTGAGCATACCTCCGGCTAGAGCTGAGTACAAAAGTCCTAGTATGTATGGTATACCCTCATCATGATAGCGTTGAGGTGTGGCCTTCATCTTCTGCAGTGGCCGTATTGATGGGCATAGTCAGCCTTGCCTGCAGATAGACTCGGCAAAGTGCAGCAGCCGATAGGCTCGGCGAAGCGCAGCCAGGCTCGCGAAAGCGCAGCAGCAGATAGGCTCGGCGAAACGCAGATAACAGGCATGGAAGTGGCTCGATGGAGGGTAGACGCAGGGCTGGAGCCGACTCTTTCTGCACGGGGGCCTTATGACGGGGCTGCGCGGAAATTAACTAATTACAATTTCGGAGTTGAGGCCGCCGTAGGCCGATCGCAATGGCGGGGAGCGGGGGTGAGTGGTCTGCTCACCACAGGTTGTTTCAGAATCTGTAATTAATGGTTACACACGTACGGCGTGCCTGGCTCCTTTGTGGGTGACACTGTTTTCTTTTCTCGGCTATGGCGAGGGCCTCATATGTTTCCCACTCTCTGGCAACCGCGATCCTCGTGTTCTCCTTGTCTTCTTCCTGCTCCTACCGGTAGTTCATTTGCCAACTGCCGCGTTCCTTGACACGGTTGTGCCATCACGGCTGCCCCTCTCTCTCCTTAAGCTTTCTCGTCTTCCCCTCCACCTGGACTTTTGACTCTTGGTGCGTTCCCCCTTCCAATGGCATGCTCCTTCTGCTCCGTCCTCGACATGTCATCTTTCCGTGTCCTCTTCTTTTTATTTATTTTTTATTTTTTATTTGGACCATTTATCGATTTATGCGTGCCGTCATTACGCAGGGACCATGCTAATCTTGTCTTAAATTTCTGTATCGTTCCAACTTCAACGGATGTCCTGAAGGACGTGTGCTCTTCTTCCACTTTTGTCCCGCCGGACCTATCGTCAATCTTCTTGTTCGGCCCCAGCCCCTGTTGTTAAACTTGGGTTCACCAACGGGTACCTCAGCTGGTACACCCATGATTAGTTGAAAAGCAGACACGAGTTCGAATCCAGATGAATGCGAAAGAAAAAACTGGGGTTGACGCGGAATCTACGACGGCATGGAAAATAGAGAGGATGGCGGAGTCGTGCGAGGACGGCGGGAAGCATGGCCTTTCTGGAGAAATGGGGGGAGAGGTGTACACATGGCGGAAGGAATGGAGGGAGGGAGGAAGGGAGGAGGGAGGAGGGAGGAAGGCGGAGGAGGATATCCAAAATTTAGCTGTGCGAGTGACATAAGGGTGCTGTCTCATCACCCAGTCTCTTTTCTTCCCCCTTTTCAAGGAAATTTGCATCAGCCGCTGTCTTTTATGCGGGCGTGTTCTGCATCCTATGGAATAGACTGCCGGCGGTGCTATCCGCAAACAAAAAGAATGGACTCCTGGCGGTGAAATCAGAGGCCGGCGCTGTCTGGTACATGCGTGTGCGCCGCGCCCGTGCATTCCCCTGCGCGCCCCCTCTTCACCAAACACACAGAGACAGAGGAAGGGAGTGGAAATAACAGGCACACACCCAGATCTATTCACACACACACACACACACACAC